AAGGTAACCAAGGTTATTCAGTAAATTGTCTAGGATAACCAAGGTTATTCAGTAAATTGTCTAGGATAACCAAGGTTATTCAGTAAATTGTCTAAGGTAACCAAGGTTATTCAGTAAATTGTCTAGGATAACCAAGGTTATTCAGTAAATTGTCTAAGGTAACCAAGGTTATTCAGTAAATTGTCTAAGGTAACCAAGGTTATTCAGTAAATTGTCTAAGGTAACCAAGGTTATTCAGTAAATTGTCTAAGGTAACCAGGGTTATTCAGTAAATTGTCTAGGATAGCTAAGGTTATTAGGTAAATAGTGTAGGATAACCAAGGTTATTCAGTAGATTATCTAGGATAATCAGGGTTATTCAGTAGATTATCTAGGATAATCAGGGTTATTAGGTAAATTGTCTAGGATAGCTAAGGTTATTAAGTAAATTGTGTAGGATAACCAGGGTTATTAGGTAAATTGTCTAGGATAGCTAAGGTTATTAGGTAAATAGTGTAGGATAACCAAGGTTATTCAGTAGATTATCTAGAATAACTAAGGTTATTAGGTAAATTGTGTAGGATAACCAGAGTTATTCAGTAAACTGTCTCACACAGATTAAAATAAACTCTAATAATAACAGAAATTGAATGATAAAAAAAAAGTCCATGTGTAGAGAAAGATTTCCCCTTTAGACAAAATATAGAGAAATAGCAGAACAATATATGTTTTTGTAATGTTTGACTTTTGATTATCTAAACAGGGGGTCTAAATAAAATAATAAAAAAATAAAACAATATCTAGCTATATTCAACCTATGTACATGTCTTCAAAGTTTAAAAAAAAATGAGTGACAAACAATTATAACTGTTGGAGAGACAGAAAAAAAAAGATTGGAAATATAATATGGCCCCTTTCCTATGGTAAAGACATTTGTGAAAAAAGAAAAAAAAAGAGGGCGTTGGTTAACTGAATCCGCGAGTCACGTGATGCTCACAAACGACTGTTTTACAGCATAAATAAGTAGCCACGTCAACTTACAGCATTAGTACACACACACACACACACAGAAAAAAAATATGAAGCCAAATCAATGTAAACTACTTGTGCCCTGATCGGATCCACACTTACCCGTACATTTATGTCTCATATATGTCAAGGAAAGGAAGGAACTTACAAATGTATATTCTAAAGTAGTTGGTTTATTCATAATTACCAGAAAACTTTTATTATTGATGTATTCATAAATACGTACAACGTAACAGCGCAAGGGCTAGCCAAGTCTATACTTCGCATAAGCAATTTTAAAAATTTCAATTTATAAATTTAAAATCTCTGTAACCTAACTTTATAAAACGACTTTTATGTGGAACGACCTTGTTGTCTAGAGCGTAAAGTTGATTCCATTTAAGGCCGTTTAATCGTAATAGGTCACGGATTCTTGTTTGTCGTATTTACATACGTGAATTTATTACAAAAAAAGGTTTAGGCATATCTATTCAGGATTTCAAATACGGCCTAATTTCGCTCGATAACTTTGGTGAGTTTACAGAAAACTAGCGATCAAACAAAGTAGTTCTTGTAAATCAAAACATACTGAGGACAACGGATTCTTCAACCGGGAAAAATTTTTGTAAACACATATCAATCCAGTTTCACTCGCCCTTTTGGCAATGTACATCTACTTTCACGCTAGGAGTGATGAGAAACTACAGTTTCTAAACGCCCCTGGCTAGTCTTTCGAGCCCTAAAATTTTAGTTTTTCATGTTTTATTTTTTAGGCCTATACTATATCTACCATATTGTGTACTCTATCCCCGCTCTAATGTTTTATTTTTTAGGCCTATACTATCTACCATATTGTGTACACTATCCCCGATTATCATGTTTTATTTTTTAGGGCTATACTATATCTACCATATTGTGTACTCTATCCTCAGTTATCATGTTTTATTGTTTAGGCCTATACTATATCTGCTATGTTGTGTACTCTATCCCCGGGGATGAAAACAATCTTGATAGATTAAGTATTCTCGTCCTAGGCGTGTCTGCAACCCACTAGTTTGACTAAAGAACGACAGGAAATGAGACCTAAATTTAGATGTTATAGTTTTTCTTGTAGAAACACTTGGCTTCGGTTCCAGGGCAATACCCTTTTTACCATGAGACTGGTTATACAACAATAATATAAAGGAGTCTTGATTCGACATCTTTGTTGGTGTACACACCAGGTGGCGTTTGTAACGTCCCTAATTTCGAACCACCTATCACTGAAAGTCAACATCTCGGCAGCAACCTACAGCAATGTTTTTTGAAGTTATTTATTAACTTGTTTTTTTACGTATTTATTAATTATTGTTATGTATAACTTATTAAAACCAAGTTCTCAATGTAAATAATAGGGCACTGTGCTTTTATTAAAAATGATTGTAGATAAATACTTTAATCGTTGCTCGATAATATTTCGACAAGACAAACAAACCCTACCCCAGCCTTTTATCAACCACTTGATATGTATGATATAAGCCAATTAAACCAAACTTAATATGTATTTTTTAAGATAACTCGAAATTAGTTAGAATATTTACATCCCAGTGTATCAGCGGTAAGTCTGAAGACTTATAACGTTAAAAATCGGGTTTCTATACATGTGGTGGGCACAGCATATATAGCCCATAATGTAGCTTTGCGCTTAACAACAAACAAAGAAAAAGGTGTTCACCTCAGTGCTCCAATCCAATCCCTTGGCAGTCATTTTGATTTGAAAGTCATTTGAGCCTCCTATCCCCGCTATAATGTTTATTTTTAGGCCTATACTATATCTACCATATTGCGTACTCTATCCCCGGCTATCGTGTTTTATTTTTTAGGCCTAGACTATATCTACCATATTATGTACTCTATCCCCGGCTATCGTGTTTTATTTTTTAGGCCTATACTATATCTACCATATTATGTACTCTATCCCCGGCTATCGTGTTTTATTTTTTAGGCCTATACTATATGTACCATATTGTGTACTCTATCCCCGGTTATCATGTTTTATTTTTTAGGCCTATACTATCTACCGTATTGTGTACTCTATCCTCAGTTGAGTACACAATATGGTAGATATTGTATAGGCCTAAAAAATAAAACATTATAGCCGGGGATAGAGTACACAATATGGTAAATATAGTATAGGCCTAAAAAATAAAACATGATAGCCGGGGATAGAGTACACAATGTGGTAGAAATAGTATAGGCCTAAAAAATAAAACATGATAGCCACTTTTTAAATACAATATGCTATTTGTTTACCATCAACCAAAATTGTGATGCTATGAATTTATAAATGTCGTAAGCCTTAATAAAAGAAAATCGACTTATCTATCAAAACATTACTGTGTCCTTGTTTTAAAGTGGATTTAT